GGAAGTGTAGGAGCGGGCTGCGGCGTGAGGAGTCCTCATCGGCCGGCGGGCCAGCTGATGAGCCGCAGCAGCAGCAGGATGTAGCATGCTGGAGGGCTGGTTTCGCTATGGATCTTCTAAATTCATCTAATTCATGAGCTGCCGCTTGCGCAGCAGCAGCAGTTGCTGCTGCTGCTGCTGCTGCTGCTGCTGCTGCGGTGGCTGCTGGGTGCTGCGGCACTGAAGGCAGCAGCAGCAGCGCCGCAAATCGAGTTTCAAGTGCCTGCTGCAGCGCTTGCAGCAGCAAGAGCTGCAGCAGCAGCAGCAAGAGCTGCAGCAGCAGCAGCTGCTGCTCAGTGATCGACTAATTGTTTTAGTGATTAAGTTATAATAACGCTAGACGGGAGCCGATACCACTTGTGCTGCCTGCAGCAGCAGCAGCAGCAGCAGCAGCAGCAGCAGCAGCAGCAGATCCGCTACTCGTGCGAGTTTGTAGCAGCTGCAGGCGTAGTTGTCCCTAGCGGAGCTGTTCCCTAGCTAGCTAGCTAGCCAGTGGCTAGCCAGTAGGCGGCTAGCTAGCCACTAGCTAGCCACTTCGTGGCTAGCTAGCGAGTACACTTCGTGGCTAGCTAGCGAGTAGTTAGCTGGAGCTGCAGGCCCGGAAGCATCCAGTGGCTTTTTCTGGGGTTTCTGGCGGGCTTTTGCGTTTAAACTGACGGACAAGATCAAAAGGAGTTAAATTTTCGCAAATTAAATTAAAATGCGGAACAAAATAAACGCAAATAAAAGAAATTTGGCCACAATGAAGGAAGACGAAGAGCGCGCGCGTGGCAAGAGTGGCGGGGTGTACAGACACCCGGGGCGCGGCGGGGAACTCGGTCGGAAAGCTGAGGCGAAGAGGCCCTTTGGAGGAAATCAAAACATTTATTTGTTAAAAAATATATATTTAAAAGGAAAATGAAAGAATAAAAGGCCAAACGGAGGCGCGGCGCATGCATGCGTTGGCCGGGGCTGTGGTTGGCTTCCGGCGCTCGGGTTTCGGTTCGGAGTGCGGAATTGGAGTTTTTTTCGGGTTTTTTGGATTAATTTTTGAGTAAATAATCTTATTTGTAAAACAAATAATCCCATTTGTCGGAATTTCGCGCCAGTTCGGCTCCATCCTCGCCGGATCGCGCGCGTCGCGCGCCGCAGGCGGCCGAGGGTTTAGGGTTTAGGGTTTAGGGTTTAGGGTTTGCGATGGCGGAGGCGGCTGCCGCGCCCCGCAGGGGCGCCAAAAACTACCCCTTGGGGGCCAGCTGGAAACAAATGGAAGTTAAAAATAAAATGCCAGCAGCAGTTCAAATAACTGCGGAGCAGCTGCTGCGGGAAGCAGTGGACAGACAGCTGGAAGATGCAGCAGCAGCAAAGCCGCAGCAGCGGATTGTGGATGATGAAGAACTTGAGGTGTACAGACTCAACAAAAGAAAAGAATTCGAAGACTCCATTCGCAGACAAAGACACCACATCGGCACTTGGATCAAATACGCGCTTTGGGAGGCTGCCCAGCGAGAGTTCCGCAGGCAAACCCTAAACCCTAAACCCTAAACCCTAAACCCTAAACCCTAAACCCTAGACCCTAGAGGGGGGATAGGGGGCGTGGGGGGCGCCTGCAGGGCTTTCGGGACTCGGCGGGGAGACGCCAGAGGCGCAGAGGCAGAGCCAATGACTGCAAACCCTAAACCCTAAACCCTAAACCCTAAACCCTCGTGGCCTTCCCTTGAACCCCAGACCCCAACGCCGCCACTAAACCCTAAACCCTAAACCCTAGGCCTAGAACTTTAGCGACACGATTTACGCGCGAAACCTGAAACCCTAGGGCCCCAAACCCTAAACCCTAAACCCTAAACCCTAAACTTGAACACTGGACCCTCGAACTAGAGCCCGGAGCCCTGCGGCCTTCCCTACATGCGTGTGCTGGCGCGAAACCCCAAACCCTAAACCCTAAACCCCAAACCCTAAGCCCCAAGTCCTAAACCCCAAACCCGCAGCCCTAACCCCCAAACCCTAACCCCCAAACCCTAAACCCCAAGCCTCTCACGCACGCGCTGAGCCGCCAAGTTCGAAGCGCACGCGGACCCTAAACCCCAAACCCCAAACCCTAAACCCTAAACCCTAATTTGTGGTTTGCAGGGCGCGGAGCGTGTTTGAGCGGGCGCTGCTGGTGGACTACCAGAACGTGAGTTTGTGGCTCAAGTACATTGAAATGGAAAGCAGCAACAAGTTCGTGGTTAGCTGCCGCAACCTCTATAATAGGGTTTGTCAGTTGCTGCCGAGAGTGGAGCAGTTTTGGTTCAAATACGCGCACATGGAGGAGCTGCTCGGCAACTACGCAGGTCAGCAGCAGCAGCAGCAGCAGCAGCAGCAGCAGCAGCAGCAGCAGCAGCAGCAGCAGCAGCAGCAGCAGTGTGGGGTTTGCTGCAGGGGCCCGCGGGGTGTACGAACGGTGGATGGAGTGGAACCCCTCGGACAAGGGCTGGCTGGTGTACATACACTTCGAAGAGCGCTGCAAAGAACTCGAAAGGGCCCGACGCGTCTTCGAAAGGCAAACCCTAAACCCTAAACCCTAAACCCTAAACCCTAAACCCTAAACCCTTAGCCAAGCCGTAGCATCCAGCCCCGGAGCAGCTGCTCAGAAGCAGCCAGCCGACTCACGCGCAGAAAGGGCTGCTTTAGGGTCCAGGGTTTAGGGTCTAGGGTTTAGGGTTTAGGGTTTAGGGTTTAGGGTTTAGGGTTTAGGGTTTGCGGCGAAGGTACCTGAGCAACCGGCCAAGTCAAGAGTCTTTTTTGCGGTTTTGCAAATTCGAAGAAAAACACAAAAACATTCCAAGAGCTCGAGCGGGATTTGAAAAAGCTGTAAAACTTTTTATTTATTTATTTATCTATTTATTTATTTATTTATTTATTTATTTGTTTTGTTTTTTTTGTTTGTTTTGTTTATTTGTTTTGTTGTTTGTTTTGTTTGTTGTGTTTATTTTGTTTGTTTTGTTTGTTTTAGTTATTTTGTTTGTTTTGTTTATTATGTTTGTTTTACTTGTTTTGGTTATTTTGTTTGTTTTGTTTGTTTTGTTTGTTTTGTTTGTTTTGTTTGTTTTGTTTGTTTTGTTTATTTGTTTGTTTTATTTATTTTATCTATTAATATATATTATTTATTTGGTTTGTTCTGTTTATTCTGTTCTGTTTATTTCGTCTATTTTGTTTATTTCGTCTGTTTTGTCTGTTTTGTCTGTTTTACTTCATTTGTTTTTTTATTTATTTGTTTTTATTTCCTTTTTATTTCTTTTTATTTATTTCTATTTAACTTCCTTTTAATGTCTTTTGATGTCTTTTTCTTTTGATTTCTTTCCCTCTTCAGTTTCTTCTTCTTTTTAACTATTCTGTTTCTTTTATATATCATTTATTTACATATAAATATATGTATTTATTTATTTATTTATTTGTTTATTTATTATTTATTTATTATTTATTTATTATTTATTATTTATTGATTTATTTATTTATTATTTATTTATTTATTATTTATTTATTTATTATTTATTTATTATTTATTTATTTATTATTTATTATTTATTTATTTATTTATTTATTTATTATTTATTTATTATTCATTTTTGCAAACAATGCATGCAGATTGAACTGCTGCCCGAAGACATGTTGAATGAACAATTTTATTTGAAGTTCGCAGCCTTTGAAGAGCGGCAGCACGAGAGGGAAAGGTAAATAAAATAATTAAAATAAATCAAATAACGAAATAATTTAATTATATAATTGACTTTAAATAAATTAAATTAAATTAAGTTAAATTAAATATAATAATTTAATTTAATTTAAGTCAAAAATTTAAATCAGTCTCCAGTTTTTTTCAGGTGTACATACACCACAGCGGCGCATCCGCGACCTTTTCTTCCTTTCCATGCTCCCAGTTTGCCATTTATTATTTTTTATTTATCATTTATTTATTATTTATTTATTTATTTATTTATTTATTTATTTATTTATTTATTTATTTATTTATTTATTTATTTATTTGTAGAGCAAAAGCAATTTATGAGGCAGCGCTGCAGAGAGTGCCCCGAGGGCAGGCGGATGAACTTTATTCGAAATATGTGGCATTTCAGAAGCAATTCGGCGACAAGTAAACCCTAAACCCTAAACCCTAAACCCTAAACCCTAAACCCTAGGCCCTCTGCTGTGTGTTTCAAGCCCAAGTGTGTCTTCTGAACTCCTCGCCACAGTGGGCTCTGGCTGCAGTTTCAAGCTGCTGCTGCTGCGGCTGTTTTGCTGCTGCTGCGGCTGTTTTGCTGCTGCTGCGGCTGCTTTGCTGCTGCTGCTGCACATCCGCTTCCTGCTGCTGCCAGGGTTCTTTGCTGCTGCTGCGGCTGCCTGCTGCTGCTGTGGCGACTTCCTGCTGCTGTGCTGTGGCCGTTTTGCTGCTGATCCCGTGTCTCTGTTGCTGCTGTGTCTCCCCGCTGCTGCTGCCGTGCCCTGCTGCTGCTGCTGTGTCACTCGCTGCATCTGCGGCAGCCTGCTGCAGCAGCAGCTGCCGCAGCAGCAGCTGCTGCTGCACTTCCGTTGCTGCTGTGCAGCTCTCTGCCTGGGCTTCTTCCCCTTGCTGCTGCTGCTGCATTTTTGCTACACCTGTGCAGTTCTCTGCCCCAGTTTCATCCCGCTGCTGCTGCTGCTGCTGCTGCTGCTGCTGCATTCCGGCCGTTCCTGCGCAGTCCCGTACCTCCCCTTCTGCCGCTGCTGCTGCTGCTGCTGCTGCTGCTGCTGCTGTTGCATTTCGGCTGTTCCCGCGCTGCTCCCTACCTCCCCTGTTGCTGCTGCTGCTGAATTCCGGCGGTTCCTGCGCTGCTCGCCACCTCCCCCTGCTGCTGCCGCCGCTGCTGCTGCTGCTGCTGCTGCTGCTGCTGCTGCAGGGAGGGGCTGGAGGAAACAGTGCTGTCGAAGCGGCGTTTCGTGTACGAAGAGGCTTTGCACGAAAATCCGTGCAACTACGACGGGTGGATTGATTATTTAAGATTAGAAGAAGCAGCAGGAGATGTGGAAAGAACTCGAAATGTTTACGAGCGGGCGGTGGCCAACACCCCCCCCGTGCTGCAGAAGCGGTACTGGACGCGGTGGGTTCAAAACCGGAAAAACTCCGAGAAATTCGCTTTTTTTGCCCCTTTTTTACTCTTTTTTACTCCTTTTTATTCCTTTTTATTCTTTTTTATTCTTTTTTATTCTTTTTTTCCTTTTTTGGCTTTTTTTCCGCTTTTTTTCCGCCGTTTTCGCCTGCTTTCCGCGCCCGGGGCCTCCCCCCACCTAAGCTGCTGCTGCTGCTGCTGCTGCTGCGCAGCAGCAGCAGCAGCAGCTTTCAGATCCTGGATTTCGATTTGTCTTTTTGTTTTGTTTGTTTTGAACTTTTCTTTTTGTTTTGTTTGTTTTGGTTTTTTAAAATTGTTTCTTTGTTTCAATTTAGGAATTCTTTCTTTCTTTGAATTTGTAAATTGCTTTTTCATTTGCAAGTGCACTTCTGCTGCTCTTTTTCAGTTCCTGAATTCACCAATTTGCTGCATTTTCAAATGCGGCTTTTTCGATTTAATTTCGAATTTTTAAATTTATTTGCAGCTTTTTGAATTTTAATTTTTTTTGTTAATTTATTTGCAGCTTTTTGAACTTCAAATTATGTTTCTTTTTTGATGATTTATTTGCAGCTCTTTGAATTTCAAATATGTATCTTTTGGATGATTTATTTGCAGCTTTTTGAATTTCAAATTATGTTTCTTTTTTGTTAATTTATTTGCAGCTTTTTGAATTTCAAATTATGTTTCTTTTTTGATGATTTATTTGCAGCTGTTTGAATTTCAAATTATGTTTCTTTTTTGGTAATTTATTTGCAGCTTTTTGAATTTCAAATTATGTTTCTTTTTCTCCAGCATTTTGAACTTTGGAGTTTGCTGCTTTTTCGCAACTTCGAAGTTCTGAATTCATGAATTTGCCTTTCCGTTGCATTTCGTTTGAATTCTGACATTCTAATGCGCTGTTTTATGAATAATTATTTGTAAATTAATATTTAAATGTAATATCTTTTCCATTTTAATTAATTTAATTCATTTTTTCCTTCATTTGGACCTATTTAGAGTTGTGAACTGACGCGCTTTCAAGTTCTTGCTCTGGCACTTGCTGCAGCTTTCCGTGTTCTTTCGAACTTTAAACTTTGCTTTTCTTTTTTCTGAAATTATTTCAATTCCGAAATTCCCATTCTTTTTTTTATTTCCAATTCTGCGAACTTTTTGCATTTTGAATTTGTCTTTTCAGCTGCAGCTTTTTGAATTCTGTTTGCCGAGTTTGCCGTTTTTGGAATTCTTTCCAATCCTTTCTTCTCCGTTTGCTGCTTCAATTGCAGATCTTTTCAATTTATTTTAAAAGCAATTTGCTGCTTTATTTGCATTTCTTTGGAGCTTTTGTCCCGCGAGTTCTTTGCTGCTGCTGCAGCTTTTTCGAATATTGAATTCCCATCTTTGCTTCCTTATTTGCGGCTTCTTTGAGTTCTCTTCTGACAACTTTGCTGCTTCATTTGCAATTGTTTTGTCTTTCCTTCGTGTTTTTGCTGCTCCGCTTCGATAGGTCGCTGCTGCTGCTGCTGCTGCTTCTGCTGCTGCTGCTGCTGCTGCTGCTTCTGCTGCTGCTGCTGCTGCTGCCAGATCCGGCAGCTGAATCTGGACAGGGCCCGCAAGATCTTCGGAGCAGCAATTGCCAAATGCGGCAAAGAGAAAATCTTCCAGGCCTACGCCCAACTCGAACTTCGCCTCGGCAACATCGACAGGTGTCGCCAAATCCACGCCAAGTTCATCGAGACTTACCCCCTCAACCCCAAGGTACTTGGCTAGCTAGCTAGCTAGCTAGCTAGCTAGCTGGCTAGCTGGCTGGCTGGCTAGCTAGCTAGCTAGCTGGCTAGCTGGCTGGCTAGCTGGTTGGCTGGCTAGCTAGCTAGCTGGCTAGCTAGCTGGCTGGCTAGCTGGCTAGCCAGTTAGCTAGCTCGATAGCCAGATAGGTAGCTAGCTGCCTGGGTAGCTGGGCGGCTGACTAGCTAGCCAGCTAGCTAGATAGCTAGCTAGCTAGATGGCTGGGTGGCTTACTGGCTCGATAGCTAGATGCATTGCAGGCTAACTAGCTAGATGTGTAGCTAGCTGAGTGGCTAGACATGGAGGTAGATACATAGTTAGCTAGCTAGCTAGTTGCCTCGCTAGGTAGAAATATAGCTAGCTAGTTGTCTAGCTAGCTAGCTAGCTAGCTAGCTAGCTAGACAGATATGTAGACATGCAGCTGACTTGCTGGCCACCACATAGCTAGCCAGCTAGCCAGCCAGCTAGCTAGCTAGCTAGCTAGCTAGCTAGCTTTTTTCTGTGCAGGCGTGGATCCAAATGATAGAACTGGAGGTGCTGGCGGAGGAGACGGAGAGGGCCAGAGCCATTTGCGAAATCGCCGTTTCCATGGAGCAAATGGAAATGCCCGAACTGGTGCGCAGGCGAGGGTTTAGGGTTTAGGGTTTAGGGTTTAGGGTTTGGGGTTTAGGGTTGTTTAGGGTTTAGGGTTTAGGGTTTGGGGTTTAGGGTTGTTTAGGGTTTAGGGTTTAGGGTTTGGGGTTTAGGGTTGTTTAGGGCTGAGGTTTGGGGTTTGGGGTTTGGGTTTAGGGTTTGGGGTTAGGTTTAGGGCGTGGGGTTTAGGGCTTGGGGTTTGGGGTTTAGGGTTTGGGGTTTAGGGTTTAGGGTTTAGGGTTTAGGGTTTAGGGTTTAGGGTTTACGGCGGTTGGCTGTTCCGTGTCGCGAGTCGTCCATTATCGTGGCTGCCCTCTGCGCCCCTCCCTTCCCGCCTGCACTCCTCCTCCTCCGCCGCCGCCGCTGCCGCTGCTGCTGCTGCTGCTGCTGCTGCTGCTGCTGCTGCTGCTGCTGCTGCAGGTAATAAACAGAGGGCTAGAAGTCTGCAAGGCAAATGGGTGGGACGAAGACCGAGCGGCGCTGCTGGAGGTGAGCCAAGAAGCAGCAAATTGGCAAAAGATTGTTTGGAAGAAATTGCTGCTGCTGCTGCTGCTGCTGCTGCTGCTGCTGCTGCAGCAGGAGGGTTGGTGCAGCCCAGGACACACTGGGGGTTTCGCAGCAGCAAGCTGAGGGCCTAGCTAGGGTTTTCGGGGGACGGTTTAGGCTTGGAGCTGAGGGTTTGTCCAGGGTCTAGGGTTTAGGGTTTAGAGCCTAGGGTTTAGGGTTTAGGGTTTAGGGCCGTCGGCCTGTTTGCTGCGGCTGCGGCCTCGCGCCGGCGAAGCCCCCCGCCCGCTGCAGCAGCACAAACTGAACTGCAGCAGCTGGAACTCCGCTGCTGCTGCTGCTGCTGCTGCTGCTGCTGCTGCTGCTGCTGCAGCACTGGCTGGCGCTGGAGCGGGAGGGGGGGGAGGCTGCTGCTATTCAGCGGGTGTTTCGGCTGCTTCCGAAGAAAATAAAAAAAAGAAAAACTCAAAAAAATGCAAACGGAGTTGAAGAAGTGACAGAAAGTTTGACTTTTGTGTTTCCCGACGACGAGGGTTCTGCAGCGGTGAGGTGGACGTACACCCCAATTTCGCGGAGCTTTTCTTTTTGTTTCTTCCGTTTATTCACAAGTTGCTTTTTAAACACTTTTCAGCTTCCTCCTGCTGCTGCTGCGGCTCTTGCTGCTGCTGCTGCTGCTGCTGCTGCAGCTCCTTGTGACTGTTGCTGCTGCTGCTGCAGTGCTAGTGCGGCTAGTGCCGTTCGTGTTGTGGCTGCTGCTGCTGGTGCGAGCGACTTTTGCTGCTGCTGCTGCTGCTTAGTATTTGCTGCTGCTGCTGCTGCTGCAGTGCTGCGAAGCCTTTGAGGCCATTTGGGCAGCAGGCGCAGCTGCTGCTGCTGCTGAATGTTTCTGTTTGCAGTGCAGCTGTGGGATTTATATATATTTTTATGTGTTTATTTTTAAATTCATAAAATCTATATTTATATACATTATATAATATATAATATATATTATATATTATATATTATATATTATATATTATATATTATATATTATATATTATGTATATAATATATATATATAATATATATATATATATATATATATATATATATATATATATATATATATATATATATATATGTAGTGCTTGTGTTTGTATGCATGCACATTGAACACAAGCATAACTATATACATATATATGCTGCAAAAGTAATAAGATATAAATAAATAAATTAAAAATAAATAAAAGTAGCAAAAGATAAATAAAGAATACTACACGAAGTTGAAGTTTGTAGAGAGCATGCACTTAATGTGAGCAAAAAACATTTCTGATGGGCTTTTTTGGATTTGAATGTTTTCAACTTGTGGGTTTCGGGTGTATGTACACCCCGCTGCTGTACGCAGAACTTGAAGATTTTGCAGGCGGCGAAAATGTGGAAGAAAAGACAGCTGGCTGCTCAGGCTCAGTAGCCCTGAGAGGAGCTTCGCAAGCATCTTGCTGCAGCAGCAGCAGCAGCAGCAGCTGCTGCTGCTGCTGCTGCTGCTGCTGGTGCTGCAGTGGCTGCAGCAGCTGCTGCTGCCTCGCGGCTTGTTTGCAGTGCAGCGGCAAAGCCGCAACAAAGGCCGAGGGAAGCTCAGTGAATTATGCAGCTACTAAGTTGTTGCTAGTTTGTCTTAGTATTTAATTGGAGTTTTAGAAAGGGGAGGCAGCTGGGGGCCCGCGGGCAGCTAGCCACGTGGCTAGCTAGCTAGCCACGGCGAACAGCTAGCTGCAGCTAGCTAGCCAGCCAGCCAGCCAGCCGCAGGCGCGGCAGCCCCTCAGCGCTAATTGCTGCTGCCAATCTGCGTAGGGGTAGTGTAGTTGCTGCGGGGCGAAGCAGCAGCAGCAAGAGTGCTGCTGCAGCAGCAAGAGGGAGCGGGGGCGATGCAGCAGCGCGGGTCCGCAGCAGAGCGGCGGGCGGCTGGCCGTTCAGAAAGTGGAAAGCGGGGGCAATTGGGGCCCCGGAGCGTTTTTAGAAGTAGTGAGGCCTTTGAATAATTGCAAAAGAGCTAAATGTAGTTTATTTCGTGAAAAGTAGCGCTAAAAATGCACAAGACCCGGCGGCGGGCTAGTCCGGGTGCGTGAGCCAGCGCCTAACCGGGGAGGGAAAGCAGCGCGCCGGCGGCGTTTTCCGGGATTATTTGGAGTCGTTGGCAAGAGAAAAGTGAATTTCGTTGCAAAAATGCAATAAAAAAGGGGCTTTATCGGGGAGTTTCCCGAGGATCGCAGGGGGTGGCCTGCGGGAGCGGCGCTGAGCAGCGCCGCAACTGGGATGCAGATAACGGCGCAGGGCTGGGTCTGCAGTGTATTGACAGCTCCCTCGCGCGACGGACACTTTAAACTCTTTCAACAGTTCTCAAAACAATTCCAATTGGCAAAAAGTGGGCGGCGAGCTGTGCCGCTTGCGAGGTGCCTGTACACCCGAATCCAACTTGGCGGAAAGATCGCTGCCCGTGTGGGGGAGAAGTTAGTTAAGTTGCAGGTAAAGCGTTGAATTTGAATCGGGTTTATTTTGTTTTAATATTTTCTCCGCGAGGTTCTTTTCCGGAGCTAAGAAAGCCCGCGAGTGCAGGTTACTTCTTGGCAAGGCATGCAAAATCGGCCCGAGGTGGCTGTGGCGCTGCGGCGAGGCGATCCGTGGGTGTCCTTCCAAAATATGAATTTGTCCTTTCTTTGCTTCGCTTTTTCTTTTGTCCTTTTCCCAAACCTGGGCTGAACAGAGGCCAGGCGCTGCAGCAGCAGCCGCAGCACTTCGCGGCTAGCTCGATGCTCCTCCCGCTGTTCCCTCTCGGACTTCGACAGATTCCCGTTCGCGGGGCTCTCTAGAGTTTCTGGAGAAGACAGCCGAAGTCCGCGAGCCCGAGGGCCCCCGTGGCTGTTTGCTGCTGCGGAGCTGCTGCTGGGCGTGCCAGTGGCGGCGCAGCAGCAGCGCAGCAGCAGCAGCAGCAGCAGCAGCAGCGCCGCCGCCGCCGCAGCAGCAGCAGCAGCGCCCGCCGCCCCCGCTGCCGTCTCCGCGCAGAATTCATGAGCCAGCGCCCAGCAGCAACTCAGGCTCTGCCCAGGTAGCCCGAGCAGCTCTATCTGGAGAAGACACCGCAGCAGATGCCTAAACGCTGCAGCAGCACTGCAGCAGCAACAGCAGCAGCCCGCAGCTTCTTTGCTGCTTGCCCTTTCTGAAGCATGCAGCGGGGGGCCAGCCAGGAGCCCCTGCCCACCGCCAGCCACCCCGCCCCGCGGCCCCAGCAGCAGAGCAGCAGCAGCGGCTGCTGCTGCTGCCGCGGCCCCAGCAGCAGCAGCAGCAGCAGCAGCAGCAGCAGCAGCAGCTATGCAGCAGCTGACCATCGCAGACAAGGATGGCGACGCCGCCTTTCTCCTGCCA